GCATGGTGGGAAAACAAGCCAGAGGGAAACTGGAGCCGTGAAGCTTCGCGCATGCGCCTGCGACAGAGGAACAGACCCCCCACTCCCGCACCCCTCACGAGTCTTCCCTTCCTGTACTCTCAGATCTCAGTCGGCTATAGCCAGTTCCCTGCCACCACGACTGTCCACCTAGGACAACTCTGGCTGCTTCTTGTGATAATTTACACCCATAACTGCTTCCAGCCCACCTTCTCCGTCCCTGGCTTTCATCTTCCCCAACCCAGCGCGAAAGTTGGCCTGGCAGGGACTGAAAACAAACAAACAAAAAAGGCCTTCCTTGGATCAGGAGACACTAATGCCTCATTAACCTTACTGAGGGCATAAGCCCAAAAAGGCCTTTGAGTATCCATGGTGAACGTTACAGACTCCGTGCGTAAGAGCATAAGCTCTTTACTCACTGTAGTGTTCTCTGTATCCTTGCTCCGAGCTTATGAATCCCTATTTTAAACAGAGTTGTATCACCTTGTTATCTGATTTTTTAGGTCTGCAAAAACACAGGGTAGAAGTGAGTGGGTGAAATTCTCCCAAGGGTGCCCACGTGCCTGGCTTTGTTAAGTTTGGGAATTATTCTGGATATATCTGGGTACAAATGTGCATATGCAAGCATATGTGTGGGGTCTCTGGGTATACTCATGTGTTGGTTATAATGACTGTGTGTGAGAGAGTGTGTGCATTAGCATCTACTGCATCTGTTGGCTTTGTGTGTGCATATTGAATGTGTGCTATATGAGGACGTTTGTGAATGAATTTGTCATTTTGTGGGTTTATATGTGTATATGTGATCAGATGTAAAATATGTAAATGAGAATTTACACTTTTTTGACTGTAGGAAATATGACAGAGCATTTGTAGGGCTGCTTATAAGTTTATGTCTTCAAGCTAAACTGTAAGTTTGCATGTGGATTTATATAGGGATAGCTCTAGGGAAAGTTTCCAAGTCATATGGTTGAACCATATGGCATTGCCATTTTTGTGGGCTAAAAATGGTTAAATATTCTATACTTTTTGTATGATTCAAATTAATGGGTGTGTATGTACATGTGTATACACACATACATAAATTCAAATTAGCATAGCCCCAGCACCAATTAGTAATGCTATCAGAGCTAAGAAGATGACCACCATGAGCATGAGATCCGGGAAGAAACTTAACATAGACCTTGAGGGAAAGATAAGATACAGAAAGAATAATGAATAATGGAACAGAAAGTTGCAAAAGGGAAATAGTGGGAAATGAGGGTGAATGTTCCTTAGCCGAGAAAGCCTTCTCTGACACTTGTTTTGTATCCACACACCCCAAGTTTGGCTCTGCCTCGAGCTTGTACAACCCCCATGTGGTGACTCTATGACAACACTTGTCACCTTGAACTGTAATTGTTCATCTAATTGGCTGTCTTCCCTACCAGGCAGCAAGTTCACTGAGAGCAATGACTGTCTCTGTAGTTCACTTGTATTCCCAACACTTAGGACAAAGCTTGGTACAGAATGGAAACTTAGCTAGCATTTGTTGAAGAAACGGATGGCTGAAAGCCAGGTCTTCTGATAAAGCAGTACATTGTCAGGCTAAGGAGTGCAACTTGTTCTGGTCAGTGCATGTGACTATCAGTTCTTTGGCAACTGACAGACATTTTGGAGAGTCAATTAACATGCACAAAACATCATTTAAAAATACTAATTTAGGAGTGGTATCAATAATACACAGAAGTAGGTCAGGTGAGGTGGCTCACATCTGTAATCCCAGCATTTTTAGAAGGCTGAGGCAGGATCGCTTGAGACTAGGAGTTCAGGACCAGCTTGGGTAAGATAGAGAGACCCTGTCTCTTAAAAAAATAAAAATTAAAAAAAGGCCAGGTGTGGTCACACCTGTAATCCTGGAACTTTGGGAGGCTGAGGTAGGAGGATCACTTGAGCCCAGGAATTCAAGATCAGCTTGGGCAACACAGGGAGACCCCATCTCTACAAAAAATTAAAAAATTAGCCTAGGCATGATGGCTCACACCTGTAATCCCAGCACTTTGGGATGCTGAGGTGGGTGGATCACTTGAAGTCAGGAGTTTGAGATTGGCCTGGCCCAAATGACAAAACCGTCTCTACTAAAAAAATAAATACAAAAAGTAGCCAGGTATGATGGTGGGCAGAACAAGTCACCCTATCCACTTGTGCATGCCTGTAATCCCAGCTACTCAGGAGGCTGAGGCATGAGAATCGCTTGAACCTGGAGGTGGATGTTGCAAAGAGCCAAGATCGCACCACTGCACTCCAGCCTGAGCAACAGAGGGAGACTCTGTCTCAAAAAAAAAAAAAAAAAACAAAACCCAGGGATGGTGGAACACATGTGTAATCTCAGCCACTGAGGAGGCTGAGGTGGGAGGATCGCTTGAGCCAGGAAGGTTGAGGCTGCAGTGAACTGAGATCACACTACCGTACTCCACCCTGGCTGCCAGAGTGAGATCCTGTCTAAAAAAAAAAAAAAAGGAACAAAACAAAAGAAAAAACAGAATAGAAAGAAGTAGGTTATGGTTAGCCATTAGAAGCCCAGTAGTTCCTAGGCATGTGGTAATAAATACCTAGATGACAATGGCAATAGGAATGGACAGCAAGGGAGAGATGAAAAAACTACAATGGGAACAGCTTCTTGGTGACTGCTAGGTGTGGAGCAAACTGAGAAAGTGGAGTGAAGGCTGACCCCAAGTTCTGGAACCTGAGTGGCTGAAATGATGACAGTCACTCTGACAGAAATAAGGAGACCCCAAAGGAGAGCTATTAAAACGATCTGTTTTGAACATGTTGTAATTTTGGATATTGATATGGTTTGGCTGTGTCCCCATCCAAATCTTATCTTGAATTGTAATCCCCATAATCCCCATGTGTTGTGGGAGGGACTCGGTGGGAGGTAATTGAATCATGGGGGTGGTTTTCCCCATGTTGTTCTCGTGATAGTGAGTGAGTTATCACGAGATCCTGATCACTTTCCCCTTCTGCAAGATATCACACTGGTCCATTACATTGATGACATTGTGCTGATTGGATCCAGTGAGCAAGAAATAGCAAGCACACTGGACTGATTGGTGGATCATTTGAGTATCCATGGTGAATGTTATAGACTCCGTGCATAAGAGCATAGACTACCATCTGTGGACTCATGGAATGCCTTATCCACTGTCATGGTATTCCACACAGCCCTGCCTCTGACCAAGGCACTTTCTGACTGAAAAAATGCAGCGGTGGGCTCATGCTAATGGAATTTGGTGGTCTTACCATGTTACCCATCATCCTGAAGTAGCTGGATTAATAGAGCAGTGGAGTAGCCTTTTGAAGTCACAATTACAATGCCAACTAGGTGACAATACTTTGCAGGGCTGGGGCAAAGTTCCCCAGAAGGCTGTATACGTCCCAAATCAGCTTCCAATATGTGGTACTGTTTCTCCCATAGCCAGGATTCATGGGTCCAGGAATCAAGGGGTGGCAGTGGAAGTGACACCACTCACCATCACCCCTAGTGACCTACTAGCAAAATTTTTGCTTCCTGTTGCAGCTATATTACGTTCTGCTGGCCTAGAGGTCTTAGTTCCAGAGGGAGGAATGCTGCCACCAGGAGACACAGCAATGATTCCATTAAACTGGAAATTAAGATTGCCACTGGCCACTTTGGGCTCCTCCTGCCTCTTAACAGGCTAAGAAGGGAGTTACATTGCTGGCTAAGGTGATTGACCCAAACTATCAAGATGAAACCAGTCTGCTACTCTACAGTGGAGGTAAGGAAGAGTATGCATGGAATACAGGAGATCCCTTAGGGTGTCTCTTAGTATTACCATGCCCTATGATTAAGGTCAATCAGAAACTACAACAACCCAATCCAGGCAGGACTACAAATGGCCCAGACCCTTCAGGAATGAAAGTTTGAGTCACTCCATCAGGTAAAAAACCATGACCGCCTAAGGTGCTTGCTGAAGGCAAAGGTAATAGAGAAGGGGTAGTAGAAGAAGGTAGTTATCAATACCAGCTATGCCCACATGACCAGTTGCAATAATGAAGAGCCAAATGTTAATCACCAAGATAGTGGAGAAAATGTCTCCAGGACATGTCAGAGGTCTTCATGGCAGCTCCTCCCATCACAGATCTGAAGGTTTAGGAGGGAAAAAATGGTTTTATGGTCCAGGCCTGGGGCTTTGCTGCTTTGTGCAGTCTCCAGACTTGGTGCCCTGTGTCCTAGCCATGGATAAAAGGGGCCAATGTACAGCTCAGTTTCTAAACATTGGTTTAGAGGGTGCAATCCCCAAGCCCTGTGGCTTCCACATGGTATTGGGCCTGTGGGTGCACAGAAGTCAAGAATTGAGGTTTGGGAACCTCCGCCTAGATTTCAGAGGATGTATGGAAAGGCCTGGATGTCCAGGCAGAAGTTTGCTGCAGGGATGGAGCCCCCATGGAGAACCTCTGCTAGGACAGTACAGAAGGGAAATCTGGGGTTGGAGACCCCACACAGAGTCCCCACCAGGGCATTGCCTAGTGGAGCTGTGAGAAGAGGGCTACTGTCCTCCAGACCCCAGAATGGTAGATCCACCAAGGCTTGCACCATGCACCTGGAAAAGCTGCAGACACTCACTGCTAGCCTGTGAAAGCAGCTGGGAAGGGGGCTGTACCCTGCAAAGCCACAGTGTCAGAGCTTCCCAAGGCCATGGGAACTCACCTCTTCCATCAGCCTGACTTGGACGTGAGACATGGAGTCACAGGAGATCATTTTGGAACTTTAAGGTTTAATGACTGCCCTTATTGGTTTGTGGACTTGCATGGGGCCTGTAGTCCCTTTGTTTTGGCCAATTTCTCCCGTTTGGAATGGGTGTATTTACCCAGTGCCTGTACCCCCATTGTATCTAGGAAGTAACTAACTTTTTTTTTTTATTTTACAGCCTCATAGGCAAAAGGGATTTGCCTTGTCTCAAATGAGACTTTGGACTTAGACTTTTGGGTGTATGCTGGAATGAGTTAAGACTTTTGGGGACTGTTGGTAAGGCATGATTATGTTTTGAAATGTGAGGACATGAGATTTGGGGGGGCCAGGAATAGGATGGTATGGTTTGGCTGTGTCCCCACCCAAATCTCATCTTGAATTGTAATCTCCATAATCCCCACGTGTCATGAGAGGGACCTGGTGGGATGTAACTGAATCATGGGGGCAGTTTCCCCCATGCTGTTCTCATGATAGTGAGTAAGTTCTCACAAGATCTGATAGTTTTATAAGTGTCTGGCATTTCCCCTGCTGGCACTCATTCTCTCTTCTGCCACCCTGTGAAGAACTGCCTTCTACCATGATTATAAGCTTCCTGAGGCCTCCCCAGCCATACGGAACTGGGAGTCAATTAAACCTCTTTTCTTTCTAAATTACCCAGTCCCAATTATTTCTTCATAGTGGTAGTGACCGGAGGCAGACAAATGCCTAAGCAGATAGGGGTGGGTCCCTGGTGAAACCCAACCTTTAAGCCAAAGACAGTTGCAGGTAAATTCTCAGACCAGATGGAAAACCTGTCTTCCCATTTGGTGCACTTTCCTCTGATGGATCCCACCCTTCACCTATTTTACGTATACCTACCCTTCCCTAATTGTTTTTTTTACACTGTCGTGCCCACCTTTGAGTGGTAACTTTTTTATTTGCATACTCAGAAACCAATCAGCATGCACTCACCTATTCTGAGCCCATAAAAGCCCTAGAGAGAGAAACCACACTGAGAGAGAAACCAACAGACTACAGGGTTATGGGACTACCCCACATCCCCTCTTTGCTGAGAGCTGTTCCATCGCTCAATAAAATTCTCTGCCCTCCTCACCCTTTGAATCATCAGCATACCCTCATTCTTCTTGATTGCAGAACAAGAGCTTGGGAACCACCGTATGCTGCTACAAGCTATAATGCAGGTGGACCAAATGAGTGGGGCACTCCAGCTGTAGGCCTGGGGCCCAGCAAAGCCCAGGCTGGGGGTGGAGGTTGGGGCATCACTGGCCATGGAGGTCCCTGGGTGGCAGAGTAGCTGAGAAAAATCCTGCATCATATCTGGGGGCTCATCTGAAATTTGTCAGAAGGGTGAATGAATGTGAACATATAACTTCACTTTTTTCTGAGGCTTCTTGTCCTTACACTGTTTTTCTGAAGGTAGACAAAGCATCAAACTTCTGGTTAGCTAGTTAAGAGCAAATAGCATAGCCGGGGGCGGTGGCTCATACCTGTAATCCCAGCACTTTGGGAGGCTGAGGTGGGTGAATCACCTGAGGTCAGGACTTCAAGACCAGCCTGGTCAACATGATGAAATCCCATCTCTACCAAAAATACATACTTTAAAAAAAAATTAACTGGGTGTGGTGGTGCACACCTGTAATCCCAGTTACTTGGGAGACTAAGGCAGGAGAATCACTTGAACCAAGGAGGAGGAGGTTGCAGTGAGTTGAGATTATGCCACTGCACTCCAGCCTAGGTGACAGAGCAAGACTCTGTCTCAAAACAAACAAACAAACCCCAGCAAATGACGCAACTGCAGAGGACAGGATGCTGAAGAGGAACCCTCACCGTCGCTCTCAGGAGTTGAGAATGTTGGCTTTGTTCCAATCCAGTCTTTTCTATGGCATTTCTCTTCTTTCTGTTGGGGCTGTCATGGCACCCATCTCTGCTTTTACAATGCCGAGAGTGTTGTTGCAAACTACATAAATTACTGTTAAAAGGGGGCATTTGGCCCAGTCATCAAAAATGTAATTCAGAGCAATGCAGTTTCTGCCTTCTTAGAAGAGGGGAGGAAGCAGTGATTAGGAGTTTCTCTCTCTGTTGGAGGAACCCATTTGCAGAAGATCAAGAGGCTTTTTCCCCCAGGCACCTTCCCCTCCCTGCACTTAAGATGCTTTTTTTTTTTTTTTCTTTTCTCCAGGATGTCAGGAGTTAACACAGCCCTGTGAATACAGGGAGCTTTTCTATGCAAGAGTGTTTTTTGTGTTTTTGTTTGTTTGTTTGTTTTTTTCTGGAAGGGGGAAGGCATCTTACTAGGCCAGGACACCAATTCACGGAACTCCTTTTTCACTGCTTTGTTTGAAGAGGACCCAATTCCACAGCTTCACCTTAGCATTTGGCTTATGATAAGGAAGCACCAAAGGAGCAGCCCTGCCATCTGCTGGCTACAGTCTAGTGAGGGTCTCCTGGGACTTAACGCAAGAGTCCATGTACCCTTCTGAGGTATCTTTTTGTCCCAAACTCAATTCCAAGCTTTTGGTTGAAGTCCTAGAAAGGAAAACTGGATCTAAGGGATCCAGAGACAGATGGCAACAGAAGTCAAGGGGCACAGCACAGCTGAGTATGACTAATTCCTGCTGATTAGGTCTCCCTCTAGTTCATGGATGAGGGTCATACCTGTATCCGTGGCATAGATGAGGTTACTGACAGCAGGGAGGACAGGCCAGCGTGTAGGTGAGTGTGGATAGTTCCTACCCTCTAGACCTTCCTGTTACATGGGTGAAAGCCGTGTTGGCACTCATGGGTGGCACTCTGTCGAGGTTGCTGGAACTTGGGGATATAAAGATGGAAGAAAAAAGGGGATGTCTTTTCTTTCTCTCCCTTACATGCCCCACATATTCACTGGGAAAAGAAAGAAACAAAGGGACTCGTTTTTCCCCTCTTTCCAGATGGGTAACCAACCATCTTCAGTCTGTATTTCTCTCTAATGCATCCTGAATCACTGGGACTCCTTTGGGGGAAAAAAATGCTTTCTTTTTTCTTTTTCCTCCTCTGTCCTATCTTCACGGATGGGTAATTGTGTCCCCATACCGCAGGACACTCCACTCGGATGCATCTCCCAAATTGGAAAAAGTTTAATTTCCCCAAACCCTAAACTGTTTGGTTTAAAAATAAACAAGGAAGAAATTACAGATCAAACAGAGCAAATCTCCTGAGAAGGGACTACTTTTACAGTATGCAAAAACCTCTTTATCTGCTCCCCCATTAGGAGACTTCAGGGTCAAAAGGGCACCATAGCTCAGGGGAAGGGAACCAAGAAGCCTGACTTGCCAGCAAAAGGGTGAAGTTTTTTACCAGTCAGACTTTTGGCCTCTCTTTCTCTGTGCAGACCAGTTGAATGAATGATAAAAATCATTGTTTATATCCTCTGCAAAGTTTTGATTAGTGGAAAAAAGTATTTGTGAGGCTAGTCTTAAACTGTATGAAGCTAGTTAAGAGAACACACAAAGAACTTTGTGTGTTTCTCAGTATGGTTCTGTCATAAGGAGGAGTACCTCAGGATAAAACATGGGTTAACTGCTCATGCCAGCCCATCAAACTGATCAGTAACAAACTTTGCTGCAGGTCTCTTAAGAAAAAAACAAAAAGCTGAATGAGGTCTCCATCTTGTTTTACATCCTTGGAAACGACCTTGTAACCATGTGGCAGTACTTTCTTTTGATCTCTGATCTCTGCCATTTTACAGTGGTGACGTGAGTTCAATCCTGGCTTAGAGAATGAGTACTTTCTGATTAATATTTGTGTGACTTTTACCATTTGCTGATTCTCTTTTCCTCTATGAGCAACTTCTAGCTTCCTTTCTTAAATCTTCCTTTCTCTGAGCTACCTTTAAAGATTCTAAGTTTCATAAAAACTGCTTACTACCTGTTTGAAAATACCTCGTACACTCAGTTAAATCATAACCTTAGTTGAGACTTGTTGGTTTCATCTATGAGGTTATTTTTGGTAAAGTTCAAAAGCCAGAAATATTGGCTGTTTGGCCTGGTTAAAGTCAGGTAATAAGGGATTTAAAAGGATTTTTTTTTAAAAGAGCACTGTGGTTAAAAGTCAGCTTAATTGAAAGTGGATATCCAAGCTATAGGTTTATCTGAAAGGCCTTTATGGGTGTTTTTTTGTTTTTGTTTTTGTTTTCTCGGATCTTGTTTTGCTGGAAAAGGGTTTGTTTGTTTGTTTTTTCTCAGTTGACTGAATTAATTTTCCCATTCTGCCTTGCCACTCTTAATGCATGTATGAGAGGCTCCAAGATAACTTCTGATAGTCTGGGACTGCTTGGGGAAAACTGTTTTCCTCATGGAACCCCAGGAATTAAAAGTGAATAACTCCATTTCAAAATCTGTTTTTGTCTTCCAGCTGTATCTGCTTATTAGGCCCTAGAAACTGCATGATTTTCTAGACCTGCTTCTTGAAGTGCTCCACCCTGAGGCCAGTAACCCAATTAAGAAACCAGCAGATGACAAATCTTACAACTACTGGATCTTCTTCTGTTTGTCTGTGTAGTTATATATGTGTATGTATGTGATATTTATATAAAAAAGAGCTCTAATTGGCTTCTAAGAAAAATAAGTGCTTAGATCAAATATTTTTTGAAGAAAAAGAGGCTGTAATGCCTTTTAGTTCATGTGACTTTAATCTTTGAGAAATAAAAACAGTTTTAAAGAGTATTGGCAAAATACAAATGTCTTGAAAATGTAGACATGTAGTCTAAATTATATTCACATATTAGGTTTGCTAAATGCTTTAAGATCATGAATTACTTCTTTGGCTTTTGAAAATTGTTCGAGTTGCTTGCTTTACAATTTGGTGAGGCCTGGGGATCTATGGAATTAACCACACCCTTAACTATTCTGGAAAGGGCCAGGCCTTATCTGCACCTAGCACATAATTAAAATAACTTGCCATGTTTTACATTAAAATTAAAAATTGCTAACAGTCACCATTATAACATGCAATTGAGACTACTGAAAATAGATTTACATGCAAGGTATGTAAGGGAAGTAAAATGTGTTTTTAGTAAAAGATTATAAGAAGGCATGGGAATGTAAGTTTTTGCCTAGTTTAGAGGGTTAAAGGACTGTTTCTGATTAAATAAGATAAAGCTAAAGGTCTAAACAAGTTGTGAGAGGTTTGTAAAAATTAATCTTACAAAAGAAATTTTATGTGAACATATTGACTAAATTCAAAAGGGTATTATATGGTTTTTCCATAAATTGAGCATTGGAATAAAAGCACAGCAAGGATTTCTTAAGGCACTGATCTGCTCTTTAACAAAAATTTGTACAGAGTTATAAAAGGTTTTTAAGAACCGCACGTCACAGTCAAACTGGTTAAGATTGGACAGAATTATCTATGAGGACTCACTAAAAAAATTGAGGTTGACATTAATAGTAGACTAATGCAAGGGTGAAATTTGACTTTCTCTCCCTTGAACAAGATTTTCATGTAATGGTAAAATATAATGAAAGATTTTTATTGGCCTTGTGAATAAACTACCAAAAAAAAAGAAGGAGAAGACAGGAGGCAGATTGTTTGGAAAGCTAAGTCTTCTCTCTTAATGAGTAAAGATTTTTGCCTTGTAATTTTTGAGTCATTGTTTTAGCTAAATAAAATGACTTATGGTGATCTGGAATTCTGTTCCATAATATCAAGTGTTTTAAACCTCTAATGTATTTAACATGCTTTCCAAAATCAAATTTCAGCTTCAAAAATTGTCTTTTTGACCTCTATCTTTTGAGTACTACAGAAAGCCCCTGGAGCATCCAAAACAGAGGTAAGCAGGATTATTTGACATGCTTAGTTACATGGAATTGCCAAAATAAAAATAAGATTAAATCCTCTTCAGGTCATATTTTAATGAATAATATTAATATATGTTCCAAAATTGTATGGGATTTCTATAATTCTAATGTCTGAGTATATGTGATCAATCATAATTAAGGTTATTATGTTAAGTTGTTGTAAACCACAGAAGTAACCAAATTTATTTGTCAATCATGTTTTTGACTGTGACTACCTGAAGACATCTTGTCATTCACAGACGATTGTTGTAATCTTGTTTTGATCCTCTTCAAAAGATGGTTTATAATCAGCTATAGGACTTTGACAGGTGCTCTTAATTGCAGGTTTCTGATAACTTTGGAGATTTGGAATGGAGGAAAACATACAAGACTCATGAAGAGCTGAAATGTTCATGAATATCAAGCAGAACAAGAGTTGATGGAATGGGCTGAACTAATAGAAAACTGAAGTAATCTTTTATACATTTTTGCTTAAAACATTGCTGATCCTTGTTCTGTTTTTCAGAGTCAGGAAAACTTATTTTGAACTATTTACAGCTTTTAACAATTGAGTAAGGTATACTCCTATGAACAAAGTTTGCTTCTCTATGGCTGGTTTCTCCAGAATTTGCAAACAAGCTGTGAGGTTGTTTTTCTGTTTGTTTGTTTGTTTTTTGGTTTTTGACAGAATTTTGCTGTGTCACCAAGGGTGCAGGGCAATGGTATGATCATGATCTTGGCTCACTGCAACCTCCATCTCCTGGGTTCAAGCAATTCTGCCTCAGGCTCCTGAGTAGCTGAGATTACAGGCACCCACTACCACACCTGGCTAATTTTTTGTATATTTATTAGAGATGGGGTTTCTTTTTTGTTTGTTTGTTTTTGAGATGGAGTCTCGCTCTGTCGCCCAGGCTGGAGTGCAGTGGCCGGATCTCGGCTCACTGCAAGCTCCGCCTCCTGGGTTTATGCCATTCTCCTGCCTCAGCCTCCCGAGTAGCTGGGACTACAGGCACCCACCACCTCGCCCGGCTAGTTTTTTTGTATTTTTTAGTAGAGACAGGGTTTCACTGTGTTAGCCAGGATGGTCTCAATCTCCTGACCTCATGATCCACCTGTCTCAGCCTCCCAAAGTGCTGGGATTACAGGCTTAAGCCACCGCGCCTGGCCAAGATAGGGTTTCACCACGTTGGCCAGGCTAGTCTTGAACTTCTTACCTCAGGTGATCTGTCTACCTTGGCCTCCCAAAGTGTTGGGATTACAAGCATGAGCCACAATACCCAGCCTATTTGTGAGTTTTTTTTAACTTATGGCAATATACTTATTTACATCAGTGCAATAAGAATCCATTTTATTTTGTAACACGATGCAATTGGAGAAACTGGTTGTTTTACCAAGGCTTTGATCGGAAGGTGTGCTCCCCTTTACAGAATCAAGCTTGACTTGTAGAGCCAATAAAAGCCCTTGGGAAATCTGATCTAATTCCTTGTCTGCACAGTCCCTGTACAGGGTTCCTAACCTGTGGTGAGTAAAAATTGTCACTTTCTAACAGGCCCAGGATCCCCGAGTTATCTTGGCACCTCAAGAGGAGAGAAATTTACCCAATTCATAGGTATCTGAGGGTACAAATCCATGGCTGAGCTCAGATTTAAAAAGTCTTATCTGAGATTCCATGTGGAACAGAGTTCCATCAAAGCCAATTTTAAAAGCCTATGTGACAAATAATTATTCTTGTTGTACTTTATGTAAATCATCAGACCAAGTACAATACTAAAGTTTATTTTGCAAATAACTCAGTCCTATTATGATTTGTTTTTAACAAAAATGAAGACTGGAGAGGGAAAACATCATACACTTGTCATTAAATTATAGTCTCATTAGTCATTTTTATGTTTTGCCAGGTTGGGTGCCTGCCAGATTACAGGCGCATGCCTGTAATCATAGCACTTTGGGAGGTGAAACAGGCAATCACCTGAGGTCAGGAGTTCAAGAACAGCCTGGCCAACATGGTGAAACCCCATCTCTACTAAAAATACAAAAATTAGCTGGGCATGGTGGCAGGCACTGGTAATCCCAGCTACTTAGGAGGCTGAGGCAGGAGAATTGCTTGAAACTTTGGAGGCTGAGGTTGCAGTGAGCTGAGATCATGCCACTGCACTCCAGCCTGGGCAACAGAGTGAGACTCCCTCTCAAAAAAAATAGTTTTTGCCTACATTTTAGACTAACCATGCTTATTCCTGCAAACCAACCAGTGATCTCCAGCTGCAGCTCAGAAGAAACAAAAGGGCTGGGTAATGTAAAAATCTGGATCAATATTCTAGTTCTGGGCAATTATCCTGCAAATTGTGCCAGGTGATAGGAGTAAATAGGTTGCCCATAACCCAGGGATTTCTTTGTTTGGGAAAATAAGACCAAGGGAGCTAACCAAACCAAGCATCATGCACCCAAATCTTAACAGGCATAACTATAGCCACCAGTTATCTGGGCATGTTGGCAGCCTTGGGACTTTTTAGCTGTCCTTACCCCCTTGTTTCGTTTTGGTACATGTTTGGTACAAGTCTTCTAATAACTGGTTTGTCTCTTCTTGCCTTCAGGCCATCAAACTCCAAAGAGTCATGCAACCAGAGCCTCAGATGATGGCTCCATTTTACCAGGGACCCTTAGATAGGCTCTGAGAGAGATCTGACTCTGTCTTCCAAAAACAGTACTCCCTGTCAGCAGGAAGCAGTTAAGATCAGTCACCATCCTTATCCTAGTGGCAGTTAGATGTACCTCTTCAGAGTGGGGAATTGATAGTGATGGGAGGCAGACAAATGCTTAGGCAGATAGGGGCCAGTCCCCAGTGAAACCTGACCTTCAAGCCAAAGATAGTCCTGGGTAAATCCTCGGACCAGATTGAGAACCTGCACACTTTCCTCTGATTGATCCCCCCCTTCACCTATTGTACCCTTCCTTAGTTGGTGTTTTACACTGTCATGCCCACCTTTGGTGCCCTTGTTTTAACTGTTTTTTTTTTTTTTTTTCATACTCATAAACCAATTAGCATATACTCCCCTATTCTGAGCCCATAAAAGCCTCAGAGTCAGCCACACTGGGAGAGAAACCACCCCCACATCCCCTCTCTGCTGAGATCTGTTCCATTGCTCAATAAAATTAGTCTCTGCCCTCCTCACCCTTTGAATTATCAGTGTATCCTCATTCTTCTTGGATACAGGACAAGAGCTCAGGAACCGCCAAATACAGGTACAAACCATAACACAGCTGGGCTGAGTGGGTGGGGTGCCTCCAGTAGCAGGTCTGGGTCCCCAGTTGGCAAAGTGGCTGAGAAAAATTCTGTGTCAATAGCAGCATGAGAACAGACAAATACAGTAAATGTTAGATAGGAATTGAAGTTAGCAAACAAAAGGACATCCTAATAAAGATGACCAATAGGCAGTTAGATATGTGAGATGAGCACAGGCAGGAGGCCTCAGGTGCAGATATTCAGTCACTCCCTCAAACTTAATCTTATTGTGTGTTCAACAATGGTCTAGGTACTGGGCATATACCAGTGAACAAAACCAAGTTTCTATCAACTTTTAGAGTTTCCTCATCTCTGAAAATATTTTTCAGCTATTCCTTTACTTACTTACATATAGTAAGCATAGTTATGTTATGATCTGTATCTAAAGAAAAGTTTTATATCTGAAGTCTTTGCTGGTCTGTTTCTACTGTCTGTTGTTTCTGCTGCACCTCACTCATATGATCTTATTTCTTTGCATGTTTGGTTATCTTTGAGTTTAGATTTACATTTTACTCATAGGGATCTCCTGATAATTAAAATGAAGCTATCTTTCTCTAGAAAAGATTTACTTGTTTTTGTATATGGCAGTTTAGATAGTATACCTTTAATTCCAAGGCTTGTGGTTACTTGGTCTACCCTAAAGATGTGAATTGGGCTTCAAGTCTATATAAGGACTAGCTCATGGTTTCAACCAATCAGAGATGATTTTCTTTTTTATCTTTCCCTGCTGTCTTCAGCATGCAGGCAACTCTTCCTATAGGATGTGAGAGGGAGAAGGCAGTTTACTTCTATATATTTATCCTAATGGTGTACCCCTTTGGGGGTCCAGCTTTATATGTGGGTCTATTAGGTTGCATTGGGCTTTGATTTTTTTGTCCTCTCCCTTATGAGTCTGTCAAAATTACCATTTGGTTTCACAGTTTATATAAACAAATACTCTCAAAGTATAAAATGGCTGCTTGCTTCTTTGGGTTCTACCTGTCTCTTAGATTTTTTGCTTAATGAATTATTTCTAGATTTCGATATCTTTGGTGCTTTTATGAAGATATTTAAATTGTTTTATTTAGCATTTTTGTTGTTTTCAGCAGGAATACTGGCCAAATAATCCAGTCCGTGGTTATCAGAAATCAGAAATCATTTTGGCATATGCAATTAAAAACTGTAACCAAAGTAGCAATCTCTTAAAAACTTATAACAAGCACCATTCTTAATGATCAAACATTTTGAAACATTTCCTTTAAAAAAGACAATGGTATCCAATATTGCCACTTCTGTTTAACATTGTCTTGAAGAACCCAGCCAGTTCAGGAAACTGTGGAAAAGAAAAAGAAAAAAATGTATAAGGATTGAAAATGAATGTACAAGAGTATCATTATTTTCAGATCATATGATTCTCTACATAGGAACCCCCCAAAGTCCATAGATAAATTTATTAGATATAAAATCAATATTTACAAATTGATTATATTTCTAAAATAGCGATAGAAAATATAATTTGAAAATATCATTTACAGTAGCAACAAACTACAACAAATATACAAAACATTAGTAAAACCTCTAAGAGAAAATAAATTTTATTTAGAGCTGTTAAAGAATACCTAAGCCGGCCTGACACAGTGGCTCATGCCTGTAATCCCAGCACTTTAGGAGGCCGAGGCCAGCGGATCATTTGAGGTCAGGAGTTCAAGACTAGCCTGGCCAACATGGTGAAACCCTCTCTCTACTAAAAATACAAAAATTATCTGGGTGTGGTGGTGCAGGTCTGTAATTCTAGCTACTCAGGAAACTGAGGCTGGAGAATTGCTTGAACCCGGGAGACGAATGTTGCAGTGAGCTGAGATTGTGCCACTGCATTCCAGCCTAGGTGACAGAGTGAGATTCTTGTCTCAAAAAAAAAAAAAAAACAAAAACCTAAACTGGGTGCTGTGGCTCAACCTGTAATCCCAGCACTTTGGGAGACTGAGGCAGAAGGATTGCTTGAGCCCAGGAGTATTTTTCACACCCCTATTTATTGACCACATTTGAAGCTTGGGGAGATGAGAGATGATCCCATATTTTCTTTTGCAAAGAAGACCATCTAATGGGAGCCTGCAGTCTTGAGGATTTTTGCCCAGTGAACTTACCCCTTCTTGCCTGTGACAATGCAACTTCTCTTAGAGAATTTCCCCATTCTTCAACCTTAAGGATTTCAGGCACAAATTATGAATCACTAAGAATCTAGCAGCAGCTCTAGAAGCCTCCAAAGAGAATTGCACTTCCCCAACAGAGGGACAGGAGGTGGAGTGTAAATATAAAAGAACAGTGGATGGCCTAAATCAGTATGTGTCACTCTTAAAGAGCCACAAGTGTTTGACTAGGAAAAAAGAAAAAGAGACGAGAGTAACGAGAAAGAGACACCAAGATCAAGAGGAATGGGGTAAAGGAGATTTCTATGAGGTGTTACTGGATAGGTCTTTATTAATAGACTCTGAAGGATATAAATAGAATTGGAATTCCTTTTATTTAATTAATTAATTAATTATTAATTAATTTTATTTTTATT